GACTTAAAAGGCTACAAGCAGAGGATGAGCATCTTATAAAAGTTAGTGGGAATAAGATGTCAACATTTTGTGACGTGACGCTGGCGGACATCGTAATACGTCACTTGAGTTGCCACAGTCGTCAGCACTGGACGTACATCACTGTCATCTGGGAAGATAGAAGAATACGGTTCTGGATTAAGCGTTCGAGTAAAGGCATTAGTGTACAACTGGTGAGAAAGCTGCCGAGGACGCGACATACGTCATTTCTCAGTGAGTATGAAGATATTAGAGACGCCCTGAAGCGTTTTAGTGGTCGTGTCTGTGTGGACTCTAATGTGCTATATCCTCGAGTGGAGGAGTGTAAGCAGGTATTTCTGTGTGGAGCCTGCCTGGTGACTTTGTGTACTCAAGTCACGACTGGAAGAAGTTGTGAGAGATAGTCCTAAACGATTTTGTTGAACGATCAGGAGTGCCGCCATCTTGGAGCACCAGAGGGCAAACGCCCTCATGCCCTAGAACTCTGCGGTAATCTCATTTAATTAGTTGATAGAATGTTTACCAGTGTTTTAAGCGTGTGCCCAGCGATCGTAGAGAAGGTATATGAATATAGGGTAAATATTTTCTTAAGACAATGAGCAGAGATAAGGAGTTATAGATGAGTGGACATGCTGAAGGCAGGAGCAGCGTATACTTGCTCGCCTGTGGTCAGTGAGCGACTGAGGAGGTGGAGCCCCAGCTGGCTGTCGCTGCATGACTTCAGTGTGGACTCGCCCAGGATGGGGGAGGACCCACTGCAGCAGAGCCGGATTGTTGAAAGGGATATCGGAAGGAGGAGTTTATTTACTGTAAATATATTTATTTACATTTTATTAGAGAAATATGTTATTATGGATTAATAATGGAATTACAAGTTTGTATGGGAGTAGTTAATGGAGGAGCTTCGCATCTGAAGAAGATTATATGCTGAACTCCAGGTGTAGAGGTGAGCTCCAAGTGTAGAGCTGAGCTCCAGGTGTAGAGCTGAGCTCCAGGTAGAGGTGAGCTCCAGGTGTAAATAGATGTGAGCTCCAAGTGTAGAGGTGAGCTCCAGGTGTAGAGGTGAGCTCCAAGTGTAGAGGTCTGGCTCCAGGTGTAGAGGTGAGCTCCAGGTGTAGAGGTGAGCTCCAGGTATAGAGCTGAGCTCCAGGTGTAGAGCTGAGCTCCAGGTGTAGAGGTGAGCTCCAAGTGTAGAGCTGAGCTCCAAGTGTAGAGCTGAGCTCCAGGTGTAGATGTGAGCTCCAAGTGTAGAGGTGAGCTGCAGGTGTAGAGGTGAGCTCCAGGTGTAGAGCTGAACTTCGAGTGTAGAGGAGCTACACCTTTCATTCGTGAAGCCGTTTGGAGGAGTTTCACTGACATTCGAGTGGGACTTCATTTGCAGCAGATGTTGGAAGAACTGGAGGAGTACCTGCCTGACTTTCAAGGACCCAGACAGAGGTCGTTAGTGGTGGGCCTCAGGAAGTAGAACATAGAACCATATGGACACCTTGAAGATGTATGAGGGAGGGCTTGAGTGCATATTGGCATGAAAGACGCAGTGTAAGGTGAGAGATTGATGTCTTTTTTTCTGTTGGAGATATTTTCTGTGTCAGGTATTGAGCCTGAAGGAGTGAGGGGGAAGTAGGTTGTGTGACGAGAACAGAGAAGCAGCTTTATACAGTTTATGATATTGGAGAGTTACCAGTTGGTAGTAGCTTAAGCTGCTGTACTGTAATATTATATAGTTTTGTTGTTGAATGGGTTCTCATGTAATAAATGTTTGTTTGTTAACAGCTGATTTTTGCTCTTGACCTGGTGAGGCTTCCTGGATAGTGAGAGAGAGAGACGAGGCTGCAAATTGGTTGACAGAGGTCAGCAGCATTACAAGAGGGATTTAGGAGATCATCCCAAAATAAAGGAGAGTATGAGAGAGTCATGGCTGCTCGAGTGGGAGTGTACTCATGACAATAGGCCAGTTTGGGAGCAGCATCCCTGAATAAAGGTAATGTTGAACCCCTCTCCAAGAACAAGGCGATTACAGGATGATCTCCCAACTTATTGTAGCCACTCCAGTGTTTATTGCTGGTCGACTGACAGCAGCGGAAGTGTGGTTGCCATGGTCGGTCATATTTTTATCGGAGATTTAGTTGGGGTCTCTGTTCGTCAGTAAGAAAATATCAGTTTGGTTTAATAACCAGTTGCATAAACCCCCAACCCCTGATGCAGTTCTCACGCTGGTTGCCTGATGTGGCGGGCAATTACGGTGGATCAACCGCTCGTATGTAACTCAGGTGGCGAGGCCGTGACAAATCCAACAAGATACCTCCCATTGTCCTCCTAATTATCCAGTCGCCCAGAGAGGGGAATGTTGCAGTTCTGCCAGCAAATACAAAACATTTTCCTAACTTGTTTAATTGGTTGTAGAAAGGTATCATTGTAACAATTTATATAAAGTCGTTTTAATAACGTTTAAAATATGTTAATTTTAGGCAACAAAATTTTAGACCTTTTAGCAAATGTACAAAGGACGTTTTTGAGATTTTAATGCATGTATTTTAAATTATGTACAGTTATTTAGTGTGTTTGTGTTTATGTGTGTGATTGTGTATGTGTGTTTGTGAATGTATGCTTGTGTCTGTGTGAGTATATTAGTGTGTGTGTGTGTCTGTCTGTGTGCTATATTTGTATTTGAATGTGTGTGTTTGATTGAATATTGATTTTTCTTTTTGTTTTTATTTGTGTATGTATGTTTGTTTGTTTGTTTATGTGTATATTCGTTTGTACGTTTTTGTATGCATCTTAATTTGTGTGTTTTTTGTTTGTGTATACTCACCTAGTTTTGCTTGAAGGGGTTGAGCTTTGGCTCTTTGGTCCCGCCTCTCAATTGTCAATCAACAGGTGTAGATTTAAGAGCTTATTGGGCTTTACCAAATCTACATTTGAAACTGTGTAAGGAGTCAGCCTCCACCATATTACTACCTAGTGCATTCCATTTGTTAACTACTCTGACACTGAAAAAAATCTTTCTAACATCTCTGTGGCTCATTTGGGTACTAAGTTTCCAATTGTGTCCCCCCCCCTTGTTTGTGTTCCACCTATATTAAATAGTTTGTCTTTGTACACCCTGTCAATTCTTCTGAGCATTTTGTAGGTGATGATCATGTCTTCTCTAACTCTTCTGTCTTCCAGGGACGTGCCGTTAACTTTCCATACCCTCTCGTCGTAACTCATACCTCTCGGTTCTGGGACTAGTCTGGTGACATACGTCTCAGTCTTCTCTAACTTTTTCTTTTGTTTAACTAGGTATGGATTCCAGGCTGGAGCTGCATACTCTAAAAGTGGTCTGAAATAAGTGGTATAAAATGTTCTGAATGATTCCTTGCACAAATTTTTAAAGGAAGTTCTTTTGTTGGCCAATCTTGCAAATGCCGCTGATGCTATTCATTTGATGTGGGTCTCTAGGGACAGTTTCGGTGTGACATCAACCCCCAGATTGTTCTCCCTATTTGATTCTTGCAGGATTTCACCTCCCAGATGGTACCTTGTGTTCAGCCTTCTGCTCCCTTCGCCTAATTTTATTACTTTACACTTTTCTTAGTTAAACTTTAGTTGCCATTTTCTAGACCATTCCTCCAGATTGTCCTGGTCGTCCTGTAGTCTCTGTCTGTCTTCATCTGTCTTGGTTCCCTTCATAATTTTTGCATCATCAGCAAACATTCAGAAGAATGAGTCTATACCGTCGTGATGGTCGTATTAGAAACAGGATGGTTCTAAGTACAGAGCCCTGTGGGACTCCACTGGTGACATCTCGCCAATATGATGTCGCCCCCTCACAGTTACTCGTTGTTTCCTGTTGCTTAGATACTCTCATATCCATTGGAGCACCTAACCGTTTATTACTGTCTGTTTCTCCGATTTTTGTAACATCCTCTTATGGGGTACTGTGTCAAAGGCTTTCTGACAGTCTAATAAAATGCAGTCTACCCACCTTCCCTTTTCTTTCCTAATATTTGTTACTTGGTCATAAAATTCTATTAGACCTTTGAGACACGATTTACCATCCCTGAACCCATGCTGGTGGTTTGTTACAATTCTCTTTCTCTCCAGATGTTCTCGAGAGTTTTCCTCACAATCTTCTTCATCACTTTGTATGGTATACAAGTTAGAGAAACTGGCCTGTAGTTCAGTGACTCTTGCCCGTCACCCTCTTTTGTATATTGAGACTAAATTAGCTGTCTTCCAACTTTTTGGTAGGTCACCTGTTTCCAGTGACCTGTTATACACCATAGAGACTGGCAAGCTTAGTGCCTCTGCACCCTCTTTTAGTATCTATGGTGATATTATGTCTGATCCAACAGCCTTTGTCACATACAGCTCCAACAGATTATTTTGACTTCATCTTGGATGAGCTCAAATTCCTTCAAGGCTGCTTGGTTTGACACCTCATCTCTTAGTACACAAGCTTCTCCTTGCTCTATTGTGAAGACCTCCTGGAATATCTTGTTGCGTCCTTCACACACCTCCTTGTCATTCTCTGTGTATCTGTTCTCCCCTTTTCTCAGTTTCATCACTTTTTCATTCACAGCTGTTTTTTTCTGATGAAGCTGTGGAGCAGTTTTGGTTGGTTCTTGGCTTTACTTGCTATGTCCTTTTCATACTGTCTCTCTGCTTCTCTCCTCACTCTAAGGTACTCATTCCTGCTGTTGGTACATATGTGTGTAGGAAATTGCAGCATACGTCACAAGTAATCACTTGTATTATCATTTGTGAAACTTGTAACGTGTGACATACACACTTCAACCCCTGGTGGAAATGTGTCTATACCAGACAATGGCCACACTGTACCAGTGAGCTGTGTACCGGCGATGGTGTTTCCATAGTGGGAAGACAACGGACAGCCTGAGTGAGTTTACCTCATCATGGGTATATTGGCTTCCCCAATTATTTGACAGCTGCACCTGGCGCAGTGTGTACGGTGTTGCCAAGCTTTATACAGTGTCACTTTACCAGTGGTTGTCACTGCTAGTGTAGCTGTGCTTGTGGTTGTCACTGCTAGTGTAGCTGTGCTTGTGGTTGCCACTGCTAGTGTCCCAGTGCTTGTGGTTGTCACTGCTAGTGTCCCAGTGCTTGTGGTTGTCACTGCTAGTGTAGCTGTGCTTGTGGTTGTCACTGCTAGTGTCCCAGTGCTTGTGGTTTTCACTGCTAGTGTCCCAGTGCTTGTGGTTGTCACTGCTAGTGTCCCTGTGCTTGTGGTTGTCACTGCTAGTGTCCCTGTGCTTGTGGTTGTCACTGCTAGTGTCCCTGTGCTTGTGGTTGTCACTGCTAGTGTCCCTGTGCTTGTGGTTGTCACTGCTAGTGTCCCTGTGCTTGTGGTTGTCACTGCTAGTGTCCCAGTGCTTGTGGTTGCCACTGCTAGTGTCCCAGTGCTTGTGGTTGTCACTGCTAGTGTCCCTGTGCTTGTGGTTGTCACGGCTAGTGTCCCAGTGCTTGTGGTTGTCACTGCTAGTGTCCCTGTGCTTGTGGTTGTCACTGCTAGTGTCCCTGTGCTTGTGGTTGTCACTGCTAGTGTCCCTGTGCTTGTGGCTGCCACTGCTAGTGTCCCTGTGCTTGTGGCTGCCACTGCTAGTGTCCATGATTTAGGACTCTTAATTGGGCACCTGAGAACACCATTAACTGCAACCAAGTCAATTCATCGTGACATTAGATAAGAGGAGGAGACTGGCTTTGGGGACACCTCACATAACACAATAAGGAATGGAGGAAGACCAGGTTCGACAAGAACAGTAAATCATGGACTTTCAGCATAAGGGACTGAGTACTATTGTTAACTTATATTTTAGGTAAGCCCTTTTCTTCCCTTTGTGAGGGTCTATGTGACACCTTTGAGCAGGTAGGTAAAGCTGCCTACAAACTAAGTACACCCTAGCCTTACCCAGTCATAATTTTAACAGATCTCCTTTACAGCGTACGAAATGACCTCCTTATTGAAACTGTTCGAAACACTATGAAATTTCCTTTAAACCTCGTTCCTACCATAGGGATGTCTGGTCTCATTATCCCCAGCTTTCTTACTGGGGTTTGGGTTGATTAATTACTATGTATTTCTTACTCCAAAAATCTTATTCCATTATGTTGCGATATGTTACCAACCGCATTTTTATATTGCCTGAAATATTATCTCCCTTCCTATTTATGCTACTGTGCTGAGACTTGGACCAGATTGCATTATATAAACATGAAACATTGCACGTTGCAACCACACCCCTGCAAGGTATCCTTGCAACATTGCACATGACAACTCCACCATTTTGAATGAAATGTTGCAAACGAGAATGAGCACGGTTCATGTCGCAGATTACCCTACTGATAAGCGGCCAGAAGACTGGGAATGCTTTATAATACCGAAAAATGTAAGACTTTCCATGTGTGTCATAATAATGAGTATACCAACTACAAAATCAACAACATTACCTTGAAGTAGATTGATGAAGAAAAGGATCTTGGAGTCATAATTCACGAACCACTAAAAGTTGCCCAACAAGTGCGAGCTGCACTAAAAAATAATTCCTAGGAATTGTCAATTGAAACTTTGACTTCAAAGAAAAGGAAGTAGTTATACAACTGTATAAATCTCTGGTGTTCCTCCACTTGGAATATTGCACCCATACATGGAGATCTTATCTTTAGGAAGAAGTATCTGCTTTTGAGAATGTTCAACATCAGGCGACAAAATTTATTCCTAAACTTAGTCGACTCTCAGGCTAGAAACGGTTGAGGGCCACAGGCCTAGCAACCCTGCAAACCAGACATGACAGGGCTGATATCACTGAAACTGTAAAAGCACTATACAACTCTTAGAGGATATTGATTCACGCAACATCATCAAGATGTCAGATATAACTTGAAAAAGGAACAATGGGTTCTAGCACAATAAGCAACAATGCAGAACAGAAAACAGGAGACTCTTTTTCACCCACATGGCAATAAACACAAGGAACTGCCTACCAGACGGGGGTAGTAAATATCAAAAGGCTGCTGAATTTCAAAATCCATTTCGATAAAATCATCAGGACAAATAGGGGACCTTTCACAAAACATCAACTTCTTGTCATCGTCTAGGCCACAGGAGAGATGTTGGCCATCAGCTAAATTCTGGTCAAAATAGAATATGTTCAGAAATAACACAGAGGGGTAGGCAGTAACACAGAGGGGCAGGCAGTAACACAGAGGGACAGGCAGTAACACAGTGGGGCAGGCAGTAACACAGAGGGGCAGGCAGTAACACAGTGGGGCAGGCAGTAACACAGAGGGGCAGGCAGTAACACAGAGGGGCAGGCAGTAACACAGAGGGGCAGGAAGTAACACAGAGGGGCAGGAAGTAACACAGAGGGGCAGGAAGTAACACAGAGGGGCAGGCAGTAACACAGAGGGGTAGGAAGTAACACAGAGGGGCAGGCAGTAACACAGAGGGACAGGCAGTAACACAGAGGGACAGGCAGTAACACAGAGGAGCAGGCAGTAACACAGAGGGGCAGGAAGTAACACAGGGGCAGGCAGTAACACAGTGGGGTAGGAAGTAACACAGAGGGGCAGGCAGTAACACAGAAGGGCAGGAAGTAACACAGAGGGGCAGGCAGTAACACAGAGGGGCAGGAAGTAACACAGGGGCAGGCAGTAACACAGTGGGGTAGGAAGTAACACAGAGGGGCAGGCAGTAACACAGAGGGGTAGGAAGTAACACAGAGGGGCAGGCAGTAACACAGAGGGACAGGCAGTAACACAGAGGGACAGGCAGTAACACAGAGGAGCAGGCAGTAACACAGAGGGGCAGGAAGTAACACAGGGGCAGGCAGTAACACAGTGGGGTAGGAAGTAACACAGAGGGGCAGGCAGTAACACAGAGGGACAGGCAGTAACAAAGAGGGGCAGGCAGTAACACAGAGGGGCAGGCAGTAACACAAAGGGGCAGGCAGTAACACAAAGGGGCAGGAAGTAACACAGTGGGGTAGGAAGTAACACAGAGGGGCAGGCAGTAACACAGAGGGACAGGCAGTAACACAAAGAGGCAGGCAGTAACACAGAGGGGCAGGCAGTAACACAAAGGGGCAGGCAGTAACACAGAGAGACAGGCAGTAACACAGAGGGACAGGCAGTAACACAGAGGGGCAGGCAGTAACACAGAGGGGCAGGCAGTAACACAAAGGGGCAGGCAGTAACACAGAGGGGCAGGCAGTAACACAGTGGGGTAGGAAGTAACACAGAGGGGCAGGCAGTAACACAGAGGGGCAGGCAGTAACACAGTGGGGCAGGCAGTAACACAGAGGGGCAGGCAGTAACACAGAGGGACAGGCAGTAACACAGAGGGGCAGGCAGTAACACAAAGGGGCAGGCAGTAACACAGAGGGACAGGCAGTAACACAGAGGGACAGGCAGTAACACAGAGGGGCAGGCAGTAACACAAAGGGGCAGGCAGTAACATAGAGGGGCAGGCAGTAACACAAAGGGGCAGGCAGTAACACAGAGGGACAGGCAGTAACACAGTGGGGCAGGCAGTAACACAGAGGGGCAGGCAGTAACACAGAGGGGCAGGCAGTAACACAGAGGGACAGGCAGTAACACAGAGGGACAGGCAGTAACACAAAGGGGCAGGCAGTAACACAGAGGGACATGCAGTAACACAAAGGGGCAGGCAGTAACACAGAGGGGCAGGCAGTAACACATAGGGGCAGGCAGTAACACAGAGGGAGAAGGCAGTAACACAGAGGGGCAGGCAGTAACACAGAGGGGGCAGGCAGTAACACAGAGGGGCAGGCAGTAACACAAAGGGGCAGGAAGTAACACAAAGGGGCAGGAAGTAACACAAAGGGAGAGGCAGTAACACAGAGGGACAGGCAGTAATACAGAGGGTCAGGCAGTAACACTGAGGGGCAGGCAGTAACACTGAGGGGCAAGCAGTAACACATAGGGGCAGGCAGTAACACAAAGGGGCAGGCAGTAACACAGAGGGGCAGGCAGTAACACAGAGGGGCAGGCAGTAACACAAAGGGGCAGGCAGTAACACAGAGGGGCAGGCAGTAACACAAAGGGGCAGGCAGTAACACAGAGGGGCAGGCAGTAACACAGAGGGGCAGGCAGTAACACAAAGGGGCAGGCAGTAACACAAAGGGGCAGGCAGTAACACAGAGGGACAGGCAGTAACACAGAGGGGCAGGCAGTAACACAGAGGGGCAGGCAGTAACACAGAGGGGCAGGCAGTAACACAAAGGGGCAGGCAGTAACACAGTGGGGCAGGCAGTAACACAAAGGGGCAGGCAGTAACACAGAGGGGCAGGCAGTAACACAAAGGGGCAGGCAGTAACACAGAGGGACAGGCAGTAACACAGAGGGGCAGGCAGTAACACTGAGGGGCAGGCAGTAACAAAGAGGGGCAGGCAGTAACACAGAGGGGCAGGCAGTAACACAGTGGGGCAGGCAGTAATACAGAGGGGCAGGCAGTAACACAGAGGGGCAGGCAGTAACACATAGGGGCAGGCAGTAACACAGAGGGGGAAGGCAGTAACACAGAGGGGCAGGCAGTAACACAGAGGGGGCAGGCAGTAACACAGAGGGGCAGGCAGTAACACAGAGGGGCAGGCAGTAACACAAAGGGGCAGGCAGCAACACAGAGGGGCAGGCAGTAACACAGTGGGGCAGGCAGTAACACAGTGAGGCAGGCAGTAACACAGAGGGGCAGGCAGTAACACAGAGGGGCAGGCAGTAACTTAGAGGGGCAGGCAGTAGCACAGAGGGGCAGGCAGTAACACAGAGGGACAGGCAGTAACACAGAGGGGCAGGCAGTAACACTGTGGGGTAGGCAGTAACACAGAGGGGCAGGCAGTAACACAGAGGGGCAGGCAGTAACTTAGAGTGGCAGGCAGTAGCACAGAGGGGCAGGCATTAACACAAAGGGCCGGTAATAACACTGAGAAGCTGGAGGTAACTCAGAGGGACAGGCAGTAACACACAGAGGGGCAAGCAGCAACACAGAGGGACAGGCAGCAACACAGAGGGGCAAGCAGCAACACAGAGGGACAGGCAGTAACACACAGAGGGGCAAGCAGCAACGCAGAGGGACAGGCAGTAACACACAGAGGGGCAAGCAGCAACACAGAGGGACAGGTAATAACACTGAGGGACAGGCAGTAACACACAGAGGGGCAAGCAGCAACACAGAGGGACAGGTAATAACACTGAGGGACAGGCAGTAACACACAGAGGGCAAGCAGCAACACAGAGGGACAGGTAATAACACTGAGGGACAGGCAGTAACACACAGAGGGGCAAGCAGCAACACAGAGGGACAGGTAATAACACTGAGGGACAGGCAGTAACACACAGAGGGGCAAGCAGCAACACAGAGGGACAGGTAATAACACTGAGGGACAGGCAGTAACACACAGAGGGGCAAGCAGCAACACAGAGGGACAGGTAATAACACTGAGGGACAGGCAGTAACACACAGAGGGGCAAGCAGCAACACAGAGGGACAGGTAATAACACTGAGGGACAGGCAGTAACACACAGAGGGGCAAGCAGCAACACAGAGGGACAGGTAATAACACTGAGGGACAGGCAGTAACACACAGAGGGGCAA